CTCAGTTCTCAGAGCTTTTCACAGTGGTTGTTAACCTTAAAATCAGTACAGTACTCAAGTCACTGAAGCAGAGACTGCTACAGAAAAGTCCAGAAGGAAACTAATTCTGGTGCCAGAGACAGGTTTGAACAAGCAGCATCACATGCTGGGCAGCAAGCAGTGACAGAGCTTTGCACCAAGACAATGAGGCTCCACATATCCACTTGCTTCCTGCCCTTCTCCCTTCCCTGCACAGTTTTCCTTGGCCTCTGCTTCTTTCCCTGCTTTGTGCCCATGGGAGCACAAGAGATGGGGTCTCTGCACTCTCACCCAGGCAATGCCCAGGGAGCAGGGGGCGGGCAGGCTCCACTGCTTGCAGAGGTCCTGCCTGTGATGTGGTGAGGACCACAGCACCCTCCTTCAGGGGGGCTTTGGAGCTCTGGGACTGCCACAAGAGGGTCTGCAAAAGGTAGAATGGCAGAATGGTTGGGATTGGAAAGGACCCTAAGATCATCCAGTTCCAACCTTCTGCCATGGGCAAGGACACCTCACAGAGACCATGTCACCCAAGGCTCTGTCCAACCTGGCCTTGAACACTGCCAGGGTTAGGGCATCTACAACTCACTTGGGAAGCCTGTTCCAGTAGATTTAAGCCTATTACCAAGTCTGGACATTGTCTATACTTCGAATAAGAAAAAACAAACTGTCAGGGCCAGAAATCTGGAGAAGGTTGAAGATCGCTTTGGGAACTTGCTGTATAAAACCTCATTAATACCTGCCCTCTCTCCCCACCCCATACTTGAAATGTTGCTAAATTTGATGTGCAGATGAAACAATGATGTTTCTTTTTCTTAGTCTTCAGCTTGGAAGCATTTGGACTCTCCCTCTTCCCCACACAAAAGCTGTCTCAGCCAGAGCAAGCATAAATATTTTTATCAGACTTAAATTACTTGAGCTGAAGTTAAAAGCAAGGGAAAAGAGCGGCCTTTGTTATGGGGAGGGCTGGACTGCTGCAGCAGGCAGTGCTACTGGTTTCACCTGTATTATTTAGTCTTTCCACATTAGTAAACCTGTGTTTGATGAGATGTGGGAACGCTCTGCCCTTACCACCATTGCTGCTGTTATGGCCAGACTCCGCTGACTTTGGTCACTGAGCATCATGACCCTTAAGCCTTAACTGAGGTTAGGGTTTGGTTTCCTGGTGTGAATAGCTACAGTAGCAAAAGGGCAGTTTCGACCAAGAGAACTTCCTCTGTTCAGGCTGAAAACAAACATAATTCTGGCAAATTCATGCAACCTGAAGATGTTGTCACTTCCAGTTTCCATCCTGACTCTCTTCCAGAGGCTGATGCCTGTAGAGTTTGCTGGGAGAAGAGGGTGGGTGCATGCTTCCTGATCTACTCCTGTAAAATCAGCTGGGGTAGCCTAGGCTGTCAGTGTGACCCAGAATGAATTCAGCTGAGCCAGATGGTGATGGGCTTGGGGATGTCTGGCCTAACCCCTTCTGCCAGCAGAGCTTTGGGGTAGGTAACCTCTGGAAGCGGTGTGCCCAGGGGCAGCTGGACATGAGAGAGTCTTGAAGGGTACCAGATTATCCTAAGGAAGCTGACTTCTTTCAGCCTTAATCATAGAATCATAGAATGGTTTGGGTTTGAAAGGACCTTAAGACCATCTGGTTCCAACCCCCCTGCCATGGGCAGGGATGCCTCACACTAGACAATGTCCCCCAAGGCTCTGTCCAGCCTGGCCTTGAACACCGACAGGGATGGACCATTTACCACTTCTTTGGACAGCCCATTCCAGTGCCTCACCAACCTTACAGTAAAGAACTTCTTCCTTATATCTAACCTAAACTTCCCCTGTTTAAGTTTAAACCCATTACCCCTTGTCCTATCACTACAGTCCCTAAAGAAGAGTCCCTCCCCAGCATCCTTATGGGCCCTCTTCAGATACTGGAAGGTAATTAATCTAAGAAATTATCTGGTGACAGTAAACTTCATCTGCAGAGCCAGAGGTCTTGCAGGGCAGAGCATCCTGGTCAGGACTGCAAAAGGAGGCACCTGGCCACTGGCCATGTTATTTTTAAGCTTGGAAAGCACGTGGTCTGCAAGAGCGTAGCACTAAGGAAAGGAACTCACCAGCGCTTCCTGCCCTGCCCTGGCAGGCTGATAAATCCCTGTGCAATGCATGGTGACGCCAGTTTATTTTTAAAATGTGGCCAGGCATGGAGCTCACTGAATAACTGGAACGCCCAGCTTTGGGCACTAATTCACCTTTCATTCATTGCGTGATGAATCAAAGAGTTAATATAAATGTAAAAAGGACAAGAAAGGCCTACAGACCATCTCCAGAGCAGTATCTGCATAAGGGCATTCATCTGTGCATGCATATGGGATCTAAGAAAAAGAGTAGTTAGTAAGTGTTACACAAGGGAGGGGCACATAGTGTTATCCTGAGCACTGTGTGAATTTTCTTGCTGCCTGGACAATGCACCTCAATCCTGTTCCCTTGTTATTCCAATACCAGCCCTCTTCTAAGCAAAGCTATTTGCATGCCGGAGGGTACGGTTCCCATGTACAGTAAGGGCTTACATGGAGGAAATCAAATGAAAGCCAGCAGTTTGTTGTGCAGTAATGACAACAAGGCCCACTGGGGTGGATCTGGCTTTACTGCATGCCCTTTGGAGACATAAATGTGATTGCCAGAGATGTTTTCCATCTTGCCCCGATGCCAGGACAGCAGGGTTGCTGTGGAACCAAAACACACCAGGAAGGAGCTATTGCAGGAGGAGAGAGTTATAGCCCTCGGCACTTGGTGCCTCACCGTCTCTTGGCTCTCTGTGAAACAGCCTCATTCCCACAGCAGGATGAACTGGTTTGTTAGGAATGAGATTATAACTTCTGGTCTGATTGATAAGGTATTTTATTGATAGACTTTATTTCTGTAACAAAAGCCCTTCTCTCAAACACACTTCTGAAGCATTAAAAAGCATCTGCATTAAATGTCAAAGAAGAAATACTTGTCAGTATCTTGTCCTCCTGGTCTCTCCCCTGTGCTAGGACTGAAGGCTGATGTTCCTAGAAAGAGGGTGAACTTGCCATGTGTCAGCAGTGGGTGACAGCCTCAGATTGTCCTGTTCTGAGGAGGCACTTGATGGCGATGCCAGCTCTCCAGAAACAGAAATGCCACCTGGGAGGAAACAGCCCAGGCTTTAACCTAGGCACTCTCTGTTCCAGATTCCAGCAATGGGACCATGTCCCGGAAAGCAGGGAATTAAATCCTTTCTCCATGATCCCCGTGGCATGGAAAACTTTATGAAGTGAGAGGTACAAGCAGCAGAGCCAGTAAGCACACAAAGCAACTCCAAAACACCACTGCAGTCTTGGCCATGCCAAGGGCCTGTGCATGGAGTGATACGTGGGACTGCTGCTGGCCCACAGCTGCCTGCAGCAAGCACCATGTGTCTCACAGCCACGCTGAGGTCACTTCAAATAGGAGTGAGCTTGGCTGCAAGCACAGCTGCTAAAGGGGTGTATGGGAGAGATGGTTTAGATCAAAGCCATGGTGTTTACCAGTGTCTTCGAAGATTAATAAACAACCCAATGCTTTTAAAACCACTGGGGTAAAGGAAACCCTTTCCAGTTCAGCAGTCTTTCTGTTTCTGACCTTTCCCCATGGTCATGAGGCATCCTGGGGGCCCAGAAGGTTTGCCACAGCCTGATCCTGGTGGTGCAGAAAGGCAGGAAGAGCTTTGCCTGTCGTACCTGCTTAGAAGCACAAACCCATAGATAGGCTTGTTATCACCCAGGTGCACATCACCAGCACTGGCAGTGAAGTTTGCTTCTATACAAGAAGGTTGTGTGGGTCCCCACATATGCATAACATGGAAGGTGACCAGGCCAGCCCTGACTGTGCTGTTGCCATGTCTGCAATATTTGCCTTACCTTGAGGGAAAGCAGTGCTCATCTCTGGTCCTACCTTTTAATGCCTGGGGAGGTCTTGCCTGCTTCTTTCCCTTTCTGTCCTGAGAACTTTAAAGGAAGGAGGAAGGACATGCCCTCCCACACTGTCCCAACAGCATCACAGTGGGTTGACAGTAGCATGAGCCTTCACAGTTCTGTTCTTCAGCGTTAATTTGGCAAAGGGACACTTTCATCCCCACCTTTGCTGATAAAGTCTTGTCCTTGGTTCAGTTGTAACAATTATTTTTCTTCTTAGTAGCTGGTGCTGTGCTGTGTTTTTGACTTTAGTCTGAGAACAATACTGATAACACACCAGTATTTTAGTTGTTACTAAGTAATGTTTACCCCAGTCAAGGACTTTTCAGTTTCTCATGCTCTGCCAGTGAGGAGGGGCGCAAGAAGCCAGGAGGAAGCAGAGACAGGACACCTGACCCAAACTAGCCAAAGACGTATTCCGTACCACAACACATCATGCCCAGTATATAAACACATCCCCCCAGTATATAAACTGGGGGGAGATACTCGGAAGGGGCAGGTCACTGCTGGGTATTGGCCGGCAGGTGGTGAGCAATTGTATTGTACATCACTTGTGTTTACTGGGTTTTTTTTCCTTCCCCTTTTAGTTTTATATCCTCTCTCCATGTTATTTCCCTTATCATTATTATTGCAGTATGTTGTAGTAGTAGTAGTATGTCATTGTAGTAGTAGTAGTTTTGCATTATAGTTTAGTTATTAGACTGTTCTTATCTCAACCCATGGGATTTATATTCTTTCAGTTCTCCCCATCCCTCCAGGAGCAGGAGGGTAAAAGCGGGGAGTGAGTGAGCGGCTGCACAGTTCTGAGTTACTGGCTGGGCTTAAACCATGACAAGTCTCCTTGGGAAGCTTGGTTGATAACTTGCAGAAACAGGCATGTGCTTAGGAGCTTCCAGACTCAAGCAGTTTTTTCAGGGTTAGAAAGGATGCCAAAGCTTTTATTTAAGAAGGGAGTGTCTCATTTTTCTTCTTGAGGGCATATACTCCAAATTGTGGGTCAATCTACCTTTCTTTCTCTTCCAGGGAAGGAACTGCCATGCCCGTGGGAATCTTCCGGGTGTGCCTAGTGGTGATTACAGCTATCGTCAACCAGCCGCTCCTCTTCCCTAAAGAGAATGGCACTGTCCCTGAGAACGTGGAAGAAATCATCCAGAAGATGAAGGAGCGGGAGGTGAGCCTTCGGCTGGAGCAGTTGCGCTTGGAGCAGGAAATTGCAGACCAGGAAGCCACACAGAAGGCTGTGGAAAATGCTGCAGAGGTAGTAGAGGGAAGTAAAGAGGAAAAGGTCCGATGGGATATGTGGACTGCCCTTTCCATGGTCATCTTCCTGCTGATCGAGCTCTGGAGGCAGGATTTCCAGGAAGGGAATTGGCAGGACACAGGAGGAGAAGAGGATGACATGGCTGTCCTGGGGAGAGCATTTAAAGGAGTGTCCTTCCCTGACAAGGCCATCTTGGCCAGCTTCTATGAGAAGCGCATCCTGGGTACCACCGGAGACGTGGCCAGGATGCGGGAGATGGTGGAAGGCTTTGCAGATGACCTGCTGGAGGCCTTGAGGAGTGTTTGTAACCGGGATGCTGACATGGAAGTGGAGGACTGCATGGGTGTGGGGAGCATGTATGAGAATTGGAGAGTGCGTAAACCTTTTGTCTGTGATCTGATAGTGCCTTTTGCTCCCCCTGAGCCATACTGTTTTCGGTGCCAGGCCTGGTGCTCTAGCGACTCTTCTCCCCCAGATGAACAAGGTTATGGCACTATCAAGGTATGCAGGGCAGATGAGAATGTGACAGGTTGCATCTGTGACAAGACTAAACTAGGGGAAGACATGCTGTGCCTCCTCCATAGCCAAACCAATACTACAAGGCCTAGCAGTGAGATGGAAGACCTCCTGTGTTTTAAAAACACTCAATATCTGGATGCTGATCAAGTCATGAAGTGGTTCCAGATCGCAGTCACCAAGGCCTGGAACAGAATCTCTCACAAGTATGAATTTGACCTTTCTTTCAGCCTCCTGGACTCGCCAGGAGCCCTGAAGATCAAATTTAGATCAGGGAAATCGATTGCCTTCAACCTTACCCCTGTGGTGCAGTACGAGAACTCTGACGTGTACTTCATCTCTCACTTCCCTCGGGGTGGCCTGGCAGCCGAGCTCCCCTCCAGCACTCGCTGGTTCCTCACCTTTGCAGTGTATGAGAGGAGGTTCATCCAGCTCGTCTCCAAAGCGCTGCCTGCCAATGCCTGCCATGTCAGCTGCCTTCAGATCCTCTCCTTTGTCCATGGGAAGCAGTGCAGCCTCACAGGTCCAAGCGGGCTCAGCAACTACCACCTAAAGACAGTGATGCTGCATCTCCTGCAGGCACGTCCCAGTCAGGACTGGGCCCCAGAAAAGCTGGAGGCCCGTCTACAGGACATGCTGAAATACCTGGAGAAATGCTTGCATGAAAAGAAGCTCTACCACTTCTTCATTGGCAATGGGAAGGTACCAGCAGAGCTGGGCTTTCCCATCATATTCCAGAGGGCTGAGCCTCTGAACCTTTTCCGTCCCTTTGTGCTACATAGGGACGTTTACAGGAAGACAGTGGACACGTTCCATGAGATGCTCAGGAACATGTCTGCACTGATAAATGAGTACACAGTGCACATTCCCCTTGCACACACCAATGGGATCCGTAAAGAATCCCTTTAACCAAAGCCAGCGGGAGAGCACTTGTTCCTCTAAGCACAAGTCCAAAGGGCAGCTGTCCAAAGCCTCCTGGACACAACTGACTTTGCCAGTACAGCTTCTTGTCCACAGCTGAACCGGTCCTGGGCCATGGTTTCTGCAGTAAGGGAGAGGGGATGGGGGAAGGATAGGGAAAACTGGAAGATGTGGTATAAAAGTAAGGCTGTGCTCCACTGGTGTGCTGGCTGGGTTTGATGCAGCTAAGAATATATTTTTTTATTGTGCCTCAGTCACGCTGCAGTGGTGGTGAGCAGCAAATATGACTAATTTATTCAGATGCCTGCAATGCAGACTGTGGTGGTGGTGGCCAAATACTTCATTTCCTTTGGAAAGGGGAGATAAGAAAAGGGTGGAGGAATCAGAAACAGGATCTTGGGATTGCAGGGGCCTGTATGCTTGCAGACAGCAGCCTCCAAGCACTGTGTAAGACTCAGTGCTGATGTGGGGAGGAGGGTCATGCACAAGATCTGGACTGGATTGAGATCTTTACGTCAACCACAGCTCTCTAATCAGAAGGGAACTGTAGTGATAAAAAAGCGCCTTCTTGGTAGGACTTGTAGTAGTTTCAATGGCTTGTCCTGTTGTTCAGGAGCACCCCTGCACTCTGCATGTTTCTCCTCCCCGGGGAGGATGTAGCAGAGCAGGCAGCAGGGCCTGTGCCTTCAGGCCGTTTCACTGAGTCTTCCCTTTTCTTCATGGTAACATGGCTAGTGGGTTCTATTCCTGGCCATTTTCCATGGATGAATGAACAGGAACCTTTTTTACCTTAGATAAAAGAGCCATTGTTGGGTTCTGGTGTTTTGGTCTGTTTCTTTTCCTTACCTCAGGGCAGCAAGGCCGAGAACAGCCCAGAGAGAAAGGACTGCTGCAGGTTTTGCTTTTGTAAAAGAAACAGTTCTCCAAAATTATCCTGTAATGAAGCCAGTCCCGGCAGTCTGGTAGCAGGAGGGAACAATCACCCTCTGAATGAGAGTGTGCCTCTCCCAGCATGGCTTTAATGAGGCCGAGGCCAGCAGGATGGGCCTGAGTTAGCAGGAGGGGTTGAAGGAGGTGCACTTGCAGCAGAGCTTGGCAGCACTGCCTCTGCAGCTGCCTTGTGGTCTGCATTGCATTGGCAAAAGCTTGGGTTTGCCTCCCTGTAGGCTCTCCTCAGTCCTTTTAAAGACTGCTGCTCTGACGAGGCTCTGAGGAGCTGCTGCTAGAGGGCTAATTTGCAGGAGCATGGTTGGGAAATGACAGCTTCTGCAGGCTCTCCAGCCAGGGGAGGGTCTGGAGTCATGTGCTAAAAACCCCAGTGGGCAAATGGAAGTGCCTGAACTCCCTCAGGAAGCTGCTTGTTAGTGCAGTGCCAGTGGGCTGCTCGTCCCGGGGAGGTGGATTTGCTAGAGGAGGAGGCTCAATAGCTCCTCACCCTCCTTCACGTGCATCATGCAAGATCCAAGCCAGGGCCTCAGTGCAGACCTGCTTTGTGCTGGTACTGGCAGCCTGGCCTCCAGTGCTAAGGGCCTTTTCTAGCATTTTCTTACATTAGAATTTCCTGCAGTGTTTTACACTAGGGCTTCTCTGAACCCTCCTTTCAGGAGGGTCCTTGTTCTGGGTGGTGAGACCCATCAGGGATGACATTACCATCACTCCACAGGTCACTTATAATGAACTGTCTCTATCACATGCATAGAATCATAGAATAGTCAGGGTTGGAAAGGACCTTAAGATCATCAAGTTCCAACCCCCCTGCCATGGGCAGGGACACCTCACACTAAACTATCTCACCCAAGGCTCTGTACAACCTGGCCTTGAACACCGCCACGAATGGAGCATTCACAACTTCCCTGGGCAACCCATTCCAGTGCCTCACCACCCTTACAGTAAAGAACTTCTTCCTTATATCCAATCTAAACTTCCCCTGTTTAAGTTTGAACCTGTTAGCCCTTGTCCTATCACTACAGTTCCTAATGAAGAGTCCCTCTCCAGCATCCCTATAGGCCCCCTTCAGATACTGGAAGGCTGCTATGAGGTCTCCACGCAGCCTTCCTTCTCTTCTCCAGGCTGAACAGCCCCAACTTTCTCAGTCTCTCTTCATACGGGAGGTGCTCCAGTCCCCTGATCATCCTCATGGCCTCCTCTGGACTTGCTCAAACAGCTCCATGTCCTTATATTGAAGGCGTAAGAAAAAATTTAATCCTGTTACCACTGCTAGGGACAGCATACAGCATGAGGCTTATTGCCCAGCCTGTTGATAAGCAAACTCCCCATAGACATGTCTTCTCTTCCCTTTTCCTCGTAGAAAACGTTTCACCACCTCTTTGATGTCTGCTCATTTGTGCCTCCATCAGTGAGGAACATTTCATGCACAAAGGCAGAGAGAGCTGGAACTCCTCTTTCCACACCTGGTTTCTAAGAAGGGGTCAGGGAATCCTTTACTCAATTGCTGCTCTCCTTGGATTTTTTTTTTTTATCACAGTTACAGGGTGCTTAAGTAATATTCTGGAGCAGAAAACAAGGGGTAGGAAGCAAAATGGAAGAGAAGAGGCTGGTGGGTTATGCCAATAAGAAAGTCTTGGATCATCAGTGCTTGCTTCAGCACCCTTAGTGATGAGTGCCTGGGAGGCTGGCAGGGCTAGCAGAGCTACAGGGCAGGACTAATTGCTAACGCTAAGGAGTGCTGTAAGCCCCTGGCTTTCATTAGCACACCCAAGCAAGCCTTCCCAATAGGACAGAGCGCAGGAGCAATCTCAGGGGACATGACAAGCAGGTAGTGACAAGCAGAGGTACAGGGAGGGTGGGTGAATACTGGAGCCTGGAGGCTACGTTGGAAACTGTAGAAGTTGTTTGCAAACCCAAGCAATTTGCCATTTTTACCTGCCTACATTTACTGCACAGTGCCTGTAGCAGATCCAGTTTTGCATGTGCTGCTGGCAGGCAGGTCATGCTCAAGCAGTTGTGGTCAGAGTTGCTTCTAAATGTGTTCCCAGGCCAGCCAGAGAGAAATAAAAGTTTCTTTGCTGTTTCCTGGCAGGGGTCTAAATTTGGTCTGTGCAAAGAACAGAAAGAAATTTGTGACCCAGGTCTCTCAGGAAATGACGTTCAGGGTTGAAAAATAACTTTTATATAAGGTTGAGCAGGGGGAGGGTGAGAAGAAAAGGCTGTGGAACAGAACAAGGCAACTCCCCTGTTAAGATGTCAGAACAAAGCTTTGTAACTCCAGTCGTATGGGCTTGCAAACGTGCCTAAACTCGTCTTTACATAGCTCCAAGCACTGCTGCTCAGACTCAAAGGGAACCTAAACTGATAAATAGATAGAATCTTTTGTGCCTGCTCTGCCTTAAGCCCAAACTAACCCTGAACTGTTCCCATGGGGTTTAGTTGAATCCAAGCTGGAGCTGAACCAAGGAATTCATGGGTTTGATTCCCCTGAAAGCAAACAGCTTGGCTTAGTTTTCCTACATGCAATATGCTCATTTTGCCCTGAGCACCTTTAAAGAGGCCTGTTTTGCATATTTAGGCTGAGGGAACCCACTCACACCTGTCCAGGGGGAGAAGTGCTCTGTGATTATAAGCTGTGCTCCAGTAAGCCTGGGGCAGAGATCTTCTTTGTAAGCCATATACCAGAATATGTACAAGGGGTATATATATGTCCCATCAGACATATATATATGGTGGACAGACACTGGTTTCTCTGGATCAGATGTTTGCAGTGGTATGAGGAGGCCATGATCTGAAGCACACTATTCCTCAAACTGCCTTGTTTCTCCTGTATTAAATCTTTGCCCTATCAGTAAAAGGCCACACTCACATTTCATAAAAAGGCTTATAAGACAGTTTAGCTGTCAGCCAGTAAAAATGTCCTAAGACTTTAGTTCCACCTGTGTTTAGTTCTGCCTGGCCATTTATTGGAAGCATATTGAGGTAGAAGGAAGGGTAGGGGTAGAAGTGGTATTTTATAGTTTAAAGTTAATAAAGTTCTTTAAAAACCAAACAGCATATGACACATGAGTAACAAACACAAACCAACTCTTTGATAATGCCCATATCTCCATGAGAGATCCTAATGAAGGGTAAACAGCCTTCCCAGACCCCTTCCTTGTGTCTCAGTGCTGTTCTTGCTTAACCAGGTGAATTTAACAGATGAATTCCTGCTGTCTTCTGATTTCAAACCCTCCCTCCCTCAAATGTGGTTTTAATATTTTATTATGGACTCTGTCAAAACAATGGAATTAATGGTGTTTTGATAGCAGCCCCTGATCTACATCATAGCCTCAGGAGCTCTTTGCCTTTAGGAAATGCCTTGGCCTAAGGTTATTCTTGCTGTTCAGGAGCTGAATGTCTTCTAAAGGGAGCTGTTGGGAATTCACCCTTGAGTATGTGGCAACCACAGAACACAGATTCTCTTTCTCAGAGTTGCTTTGTACCCAGGTCTTACGGGGCTATAAAGATGTATTTTAGCAAAAGGATCTAAAACGTATCCAGTATTCAAGCAGCAGGATTTGGTGCTTGTGCACCAGATGTTTTTAATGCAAAGCCTTTGCAATGGTTTCTCTGTAATGAAGAAATGATCCTTTAGCCACCTGTAACAGCTTAGCTGCGGGTCATTGAGGGGTTCGCTCCCATAGGATCCAACATAGTAAATAGCTTTATTTATTACTTGTCTTTTTTAGGATTGGGGGGTACTATGTTAGCTCAGAAGCAAAACTGTAGCATGAAGATCAGTCTTAGCAATGCAGCTGAGATAGGCAATAACACCAAACCTCCCCAAACTAAGGTCTTTTTGATCCACAATGCTGTACTCGAACCGCTGCTATTATAGCAGGACACTGTTGAATTTATATAGATTTTCTCATGCAGCTTTATTTATAATAAAGGAAGTCTTGTACAAAACTTAGTGTGAAGTCTGGTTTGTTTTCAGTTCCCCCAGAACTGTTTCTGAGAGAGCAGAAGGATGGAGCAGGGATATGCCCAGTGTGATCCTAGCACAGCGAGCCCAATAGCGAGAACACCTTTGATTTCTGACTGCCTGTAGAAAAGGTTCCAGAATAAAATGCAACATGAACATAAAGTGGAATAGCAATTGCAAAATAACACCAGGGATGGATATCTCAGACTTCCCTGAGAAAATGATTCCACAGGAATTAAAAATAATTGTTCTGGATAAACCCTTTTGTGGCAAGCCCTAAATATTGCTGGTAGATGTTGCCCTTATTGGCTGAACCAGAAATCTCCTGTACTTCCAGTTCAGCCAGAGGAATCTTTTTTACCTGCTT